CGAATAATAAATTGGCGCAAAGCCACCAAGTTGATGAGGACGGCCTAGTTTCAACAGAGAGCTGAGATGTTCAATAAGACCTATGCTAGTAGACCCACATCCTGTGTCTTATTTCGATCCTCTCAGAAGAGAACTGAAGTGAGTCCGTGTTTCTGGAAGTGAAACGCGTGCGGCAGGGTTGGCTTCAACGGGTCACATGATCTCATATAGGCCGCGTCCCGGGGCCTCCTCCGTCCGATCGCCTCATGTTCTGCAGCCAGCTTGTGTATAAGAACTAGAATTCTTCAGAACCCTGCACTGTCCTTACTCTGCGCTTACGACTGCGACGCGGGCCCGTTCCGACCGCCCTCCTCTCCCAGAACACGAATCATGGCCTTGAATCCAACCACATACTGGAACGTTTCATCTGGAGAGAAATTCGCGGGCTTGGATCCAAGCGACTTCACCGCTCGTCCAGGATCTGACCTCGCATATCATACAGACATCTTTATCATCGCCGCCTTGGCCCTTGCCATTCTCTGTCGACTCCCCCGAGCGTTCGCCAGGCTGACCAGGGCTTCAGAGTGGAAGAATGGCTACTTTTTTCACCACGTCCGACCGTCGAGACCGAAGCCCAGCATCGCCGTGCGCCGGGGGCCCAGCCAGCGCAGTCAACGTTCAGCGAAAACGCTCGTTTCAGACGAGTCTGAGACTGTGTACGACCCCACGTATCTTGCGTACCGCGAGAAGAAGGGCGAACCTGCTCCGCGAGACTATCCCCCTCATGTGGCCGTGTGCTGGCCGTTTCTGCGGTCGACCGTCATCTTTCTGCGCGCCCGCGTCGCCCCCGGATTCTCTATCGGTCAGACTTTGTGTTTGGCCGTATACTTTGCCGTCCTGGCATACTGTGCGTTCTACAAGTCGAGCCCCTTTCAGGACCCCGTGCGCGCGGGGTTCGTTGCCATGTCGCAACTGCCCATTGTCTTCGCACTGGCGACAAAGAACAACCTCCTCGGCGTTCTTTTAGGCTTGGGATATGAGAAGGTGCGCTCTCAGAGCTTCCGCTGATCGGGTTCATTTAGCTTTGTCTAGCTCAACTTTCTGCACCGCTTCGCCGGGAAGATGCTTGTCCTTGCGGTGAACGTACACTCTGTAGGCTACTGTAAGCTCCCGCCCCGTTTCTAATTGCGGCCCACTGAGGAAACTCTAGTTTACAAGTGGAGTGCTGAAGGAACTTTCACACAATCCATAAAATTGCCTATGGTAGTTTGGGGCTTTGTTGGTCTGGTATGTGTGGACGTTCTATACGTGTTCTCGACGCCCTTCTGGCGGCAACGAGCCTACAACGTTTTCCTTTCATCGCATTTCATCGGGTTCGGGCTTCTCCTTCCGGCCGTGAGTCCCACAATCCCCTTCTATCAATGGCACGCCCCCGGCTCAAACTTCACGCTATGTACGTAGTGCTGGTTTCACAAGCCGGTCATGGTGCCCTACGTCCTTGCGACGCTCGCCATCTACGCCCTCGACCGGCTCCTGCGCGTGCTCAAGACCCGCGTCAAGACCGCCACCATCCGCCCGATCCCCGAGCTGGGCCTCACGCGCGTGGAGATCCCGAACCTCAACGCGGGGTGGCGCGCCGGCCAGCATGTGCAGCTGCGCGTCCTCTCGGGGGGCATGGGCTGGACGGGCTGGATGGAGTCGCACCCGTTTACGATTGCGAGCTGCGGCACGAATATCGGCGTCGGCGGGGCGCAGGAGGGGCTGGTGTTGATGTGCAAGAAGGCGGGGGACTGGACGAACGATCTGTTTGAGCTGGCGAAGGTTGGGGGGTATTCGGAGCGGGGCGTGCAGAGAGATGTGAAGGTCACGGTCGAAGGCCCGTACGGTGAGCAGCCCCATCCACCGTCCACTTAATTTGAGAGCTAAATGTGTGTGGGGGGAACCTGAAGGCGGACCTGGACATGCCATTTGGGCAAGCTATTCGGCCGCAGTATTTATTGTTGGTGGCAGCGGCATTACTTTCGCACTTTCTGCTATTCAGGAGTTGATTCAGAAAGACTTGGATGGTGCCAGCCGCGTCAAAGCCATCGAACTTGTCTGGATGGTCCAGGATCCAGGTGCGTTCTTGTGTCCCATTCTCCTAATGGTAATATTGACTCATGACCTCGTCTTTTAATTCCAATGTCAGCCTCCATCACACCCCTGCTCCCCATGTTCAACATGATGATCCAGCAGTCCGACCGCGCACCCCTCAGGATAAGTGTGTACTATACCCGCGCCCCCAATATGACCTTCCACAAAGACCTCATGCACCCATCCATGTCGCTCTCCCCCGGCCGTCCCCGCATGAGTAGGATCCTGGAGGATGTCATCACCCGGACGGTGGGTCTCGGCGCAGGCGATAAGGACCGGCTGGGCCACACGGGGATGCTGGTCGCGTGCTGCGGCCCCGTGGGACTGAGCGATGATATGGTGAAGGCCGTGGGGAATGTCGAGAAGGTGAGGAGGAACCAGGTGGGAGGCATCGAGGTCCATGAAGAGTGCGTCCATTGGCTGTGCTTTCTCGCCTACATGGCTGCTGACTGGGAATGGTGGTTACAGGGTTTTCGGATGGTAGCTTCAAATTTTCGACAAACAAACGCATCCAATGCAATCTCATTATTCAACTATTTATCGATATTCCCTCCACCCTCCGCATACTCCCCGACTCCCCCGCTTCACGCAAGCAAACCCAACGTAACGAAACCACAACGTTGAACGTTGTCACGAAATAACTATCTTGTATCCGCCTATCTCGTCTGTGTATGTACACTTTGTTTCTTGATCTCCCGTCGCCTCGTCGCCCTGTCACTCGCTATCCAGCTCCGTTCTCTATGTACTATCGTTATGTACATTGTCTGTACCTCGTCGATCATTTGTATACCTGCTGCTGCCGACTTACTGTGTAGATCCCACAGCCGATGTTCTTGTACTAGTACTGGCATACTACCGCTGATCTTGTCGCGCCTAGAGCGCTGTGTTGTAGAACAACTTATATACCTAGAATGAATCATTTTGCCAAGACATTGACAACAAACTCGAAATAGTTGCGCGCAGGAGCCATTAATTGAAAGATAGACTTCTACATCCGAGGGTATACATAGTATTGAAGGGAAGTTAGTCCCAATGCGCGGTGGAGAGTAGATAGCGAGAACGATGAGGGAGCTGGGGTTGAACGAATTCTATAATCAGTTGTCAGGGTGGCGATAGTAGAAGCACTTACGACGTGTATCCATTAATAGCTGCATAACAGCTTTAAAGCTCTGTGCGGAGAGCGTTCCCCACGCCGATGCCTAGCCATTGCCAGAGCAAGTATTCATCGCCTTCTTGGCCCAGGAGGTAGTACATCGCGCGTCGTCGCATAAGAGTTACGTGTGGCGGGAAGTATTTGACCATCCCCGTGAAGAAGAGCGACGTGAATATGAACGCCATCATCACTAAATGAACTGTCAGCTCACAGGGCAATGCAATTGAGAACGGCGGCGTACAGAGCATGACCTTCTCCCATGGTTCCAGCATCGAGAACACAAACGTTGCCTCAAACCACATCCATCGTCTCCAGAAAAACTGCGCAACTTTGGACTTGGGTGGTTGATAGATGCTGAGGTCGGGCTTTGGGGGTGGAAAGTGCTGGTCACTGGGGACCTGGAGGCCGTTGATGTACTTCGTCGTGGTGGTCATGACTATCCAATATCTCCTTCGTCGAGGGCTTCTGCTACGATGCACTTCAAGGAGGAAGAGAGAAATCAGGCGACGGATATGTGAGTAAAATCAAATCTCCCACGCCACATCGACCCTGCTGAACGGGAGATACCGCTGCGCTGCGCTGAACGCAAAAGGATTGCGCCCAGGATAGGCACCGAAGGCCTGAAAATGTGAGAGGACGATGTACTTATCTCAAACCCATATCCTCATTTGATCTGATCTTCAATTCGAAGTATATTCAAGCAAACAGTGACACTTGCAAATCGACTCGAAACAGAATTGAAGACACTGGTAAGAACATAGGGAACATAGAACATAATTGTTCCTCGTCAGCGGGAATGCGGAGAGGAGAAACTACACCTACCATATGGTACAGCTCGTCTAGGCAGAGTCAGTCGAGTTCAGCAGGAGGCTTGGCCACAGTTTGTTGATACCGCCGGCTTCCGCTTCATGGCCCCAAATGTAGTATACCGCACGCCGCTGCATCGTAATCAACTGCCGCGGCACGAACTTGATGAGGCTGACCACGATCAAGGTAAACAGGATCGCGAGGACAGACACTGCCAAGGCCAAATCGCCGATCAACTCCAAGTTCCATCGTGGTTCGGGGAATTGTCGAGGATATCGACAATACTTACGGACGACAACTTTCTCCCAAGGCTCCATTACTGTGATGGCGAAGGAGGCCTCCATCCGGATGTGCCACCGCCAGAATGCCCGGGCTAGTTCGGACTTGGGGGGATTGGTGTAGTAGCTCAAATCCGGCTTGGGTCTCGAAAGAGACTTCGTCGGTGAGCGTGGTTGTCCCCTCTTGCTCTGGAAATTGGTCGTGTGCATCATGAGGTGTTGCCGTAGAGTGAGCTGGGGGTACAGGAGAGACCAGGACGTGGGTTGTGGGTCGTGGATGGTTCGTGTGCCCCCTTCGATGCAGGGTTCGCGGCGTTAATGCAGTTGTCAGCCAGAGTCTGTTGCTGACGCTATCTTCAATGTTCCGAGCTTCGGCAAGCGAAGAGACGAGCGCTGCAAGCACGGAGCGCTCGATGGTATGGGAACATCACTCCGTCGTGGTCCATTGATCATCCGTTCTGGAACCGCCGTACGCGTCCACAATTCAATTGTCGAAGTTCAGGCTGGGGGCAGTGCGAGAATGCGACGAACTTCGTGTAGAGGTACAGTACAACCAGATTCGCCAGTTCCTGCATGCCCCACGTTCCGCCAACCATACTATACTTTCGTGGGGGTGAAAGCCAAAAAGCAAAGTGATTAATGCCCCGTGCTGCATCAAGCGAGAATCGAACTCGCGGCGGGTCGAACTCTAACAGTGGCAACGACCCAGGTTACCACTACCCCATTGATGCTTCATAGGGTGTCCACCAAGTTCAGCGGCTGTACCTCCGTTCCATGCGGTTTCGGACCGTAGGCATCACTCTTCGCGGGCCGCGCCACCTGCGGCTATCGAACCGTGGATTCCACCGACATCTCCCCTGGCAAGTATCGTTTTTGCGACATAGTCTATCCATGGCACACTGGGAGCGTCCACGAACTACTTTCCCTACCACCAGTTGGTATGGCCAGTCTTCAGCTCCTCACGCCGTCTGCCCCCTTCACATCAAATCCTCTACAGACCAGAGATGACCTTGCGGCATTCTTGAAGACGCTTCTTCAGGGGCTGGGCGCACATACCTCGCCAGGGGGTGCTCGCATCCATCTAGGTTTCACCGGAACCCACTACGATGATATAGCGGCGCAACTCGAGGGTTTCGCTCGCCCCCTATGGGGTCTCGCGTCGCTTCTGGCTGGCGGTGGATCGTACAAATCTGGTACGCTCAAACGCCCTATCACCTGCGGCATGTTTGCTGATAGGGAGTTCAGGAGATCACAGCGCAAGTACCTGGGCCACTGGCCTTGCGAATGGCACTAATCCGGATCACCTGGAGTTCTGGGGGAATATGCGTGATAAAGACCAGCGGATGGTCGAGTGCTCACCTATTGGCTTCGCTCTGGCCGTAGCTCCCGATGCATTCTGGACGCCTTTGTCCCCAGAGTCTAAGGCCAATATTGAGGGATGGCTTGGCGGCATGAACGACAAAGAGATGCCTAATACTAATTGGCTTTGGTTCCGTGTACGTTCCCGCAGTCATTCGTCCAACTCTGGCTTTTGGTTGATGATGAATGCATGCAGGTATTCGCCAATCTGGGTCTGAAGAAAGCAGGTTCTTCGCGCTTTGACGCCGCGAGAATGAAAGCTGACCTTGATCACCTCGATACATTTTACCTATCTGGAGGCTGGTCTCGTGATGGCCCTCCAGGAGTCGTCCAGCTTGATTACTACTCTTCCTCCTTCGCTATCCAGGTCGCCCAGCTCATATATTCAAAGTTGGCCAAAGACGAGGATCCAGAGCGTAGTGCTGAATACCAAAGACGAGCGCAGCAGTTTGCACTGGACTTTTTGCATTACTTTGACTCCCAAGGTTATTTTCTTATCCAATCTTTTCTGTTTGAAGGATAGAGTAAACTCACTGACTCCCTATCCTCAGGTCGTGCGATACCTTTCGGACGTAGTATGACTTATCGATTTGCCATGGCTGCGTTTTGGGGTGCACTGGCTTATGCAGATGTGCCCCTGCCCGCTCCCCTAACTCTTGGGGTGCTTAAGGGCCTGCTGTTGCGCAACATCAGATACTGGGCCCACACACAGCCTGGCTCCTTCACACCATCCAATACCCTCACCATTGGATTCTGCTACCCGAACCACAACATCACTGAGAACTACAACTCCCCAGGCTCACCGTACTGGGCCTTCAAAGCCTTCATCGTATTGGCTCTCCCTCCTGACCATGCGTTTTGGACCGCCCAGGAAGAGGCATTCCCTTCAGTTTCGTTGGCGGTTGTGCGGCCGCTGAATGAGCCGTTACACATCGCTAGTAACGTCGGCGGACATACGTTCATTCTGTCCAGCGGCCAACAGTGCTCCTATGCCGTCAAACAGAGCGCTGCCAAGTATGGCAAATTCGCATACTCGTCTGCATTCGGCTACAGCGTCCCCGTCGGTAGTCTCACCCTGGAAGAATTGGGCGGCGACAACACGCTCGCGCTCAGCGACGACGACGGTGAGGTGTGGAAGTGCCGTAGAGACACCAGGGAAGCGCGTATCGAGTACGCGGACCCCGCCTCAAGGACAGGCAAATTCTGGCTGCGCAGTATGTGGTACCCATGGCCTGACGTGCAAGTCGAAACATGGCTGGTGCCCCCCGATGCCGACGTGTCCCCGCTTTGGCACGTTCGTGTGCATAGGATTAAAACTGCGAGAAAGCTCTGGACGGCTGAAGGCGGGTTTGCGATCTACGGTCAGGGGCGGGACGCTCGTGCTCTTGAACCGACCGCTGATGCCCACGATGAAATCCAGTATGGGACAGTGGAGAAGGACGGAGAGGTACGGGTGGCCAGTCGCGCGGGTGCATCGGGCTTTGTGGATATCTCTGTCGAAGGTGGGGTCGTGCGGCGAAGCGGGAAGGCTTTGAGGACCGATGCGAACACGAATCTGATTGTTCCCCGCGCGGTGCTGCCTACGATGTTCGGTCAAGTTGAACCAAGCGAAGAGAGTAAATGGTTCATTGGTGGAGTGTTTGCGGTACCTAGTGAAGGTGTTGGAGAGGCGGATGAGAACGGTCCCCCGAGGGGCTGGTTGAGGGAGTGGCAGAGGAGACCAATAGTGCCTTCAGAGATTTTGAAAGCAGTGATCATGATGCTTAAATATGAATCGTGTACAAGATAAGCCCCGCCTGCGAAAAAATATGCGTCCAACGATCTGAAATGATAAAAATATGTTTTTACGTGGGAGTTCCCACCTAATTCATGCGGACTCGCCTAATCCGAGTCCCTGGTTTAATGGTTTCAAGGAATTCCATTGATTTAGAAAATAATGGGGACATTAATGTGAGGCCGGTTCAGTAGAACAAAATTCAAAGTAATCTGGTATCTATCTAATCAGTGATAATTCACGATTTCTCACAAGCACAACCTCAGTGGTTCAATCTTGCGATTTGTAAAGTAATTCCTTCCCAGAACCTAACTGAGTATTCTGTATGAATATCAGTTTGGAACCCAGTAGATTTATGCAAACTGGCAATGTCAACGGTCTGCACTGAGTTTTGTGGTATTTTTACAACACTCATTATACAGCTCAATACTCGTGGCATCAGAGATTGACAACTCTTATCCTCATAGACTACATCTGTGGTAAGATTCTATCTAGATACTATATGCCATGCTAAATCTATACTCTGACATTGGGAAAACCATCTAGTTTCCGGTTTCTCAGGAATAGGGAGTCGAAGTCCTGTAGCCCCTTAGGGGCTCATCAGGAGCGGGATTTTGGGCAAGCCGGAAACCCTTGAGCCATTCAAAGTGACATCAATACATTTATTTGCTCTATAATTACTTCTAGTCAGCAATCCTTTGAGGAATACAAATAGCCAGGAAAGGGTAAGTAAGTGAAGTAGTAGTCAAAGTAATTGCTCGGAAATACAAATTTATCATATCTGTCACTTTTGCCTAGTTAGACTGTAGCTCATGCAGTTCACCTCCTCATAATTTATAATTCAAGTCTACAGATGTTTTAGTGATTTCTGGCTGGCTCAGCAGCACCCCAACACACCCATTTTTCAACAGAAGGTTCAAGATTCTGATGTTTTCGAAGTCAGCTAGTAGGCGCGGGGCACAGTGCGCCCATTCTCTCACGGGGTGGCCATTTTCAAAGTCAGCCAAGTGCCACTGGAGGCAAATTCAAGGGCACGTCAACTTGACGTGCCTTTAATGCACCTGTTCCGCACGTTGTATGCTGGGGCCCCAGTGAGAAATTCATTATATAATCATGGGCCGCCTGTTTCTACAACCATGAATGTTACGCGTGCCATCTTGCCTTTGTGCTTTGGCTTGCACGTCCTGATCACACCACCGCGTTGAGCAAGACATGAGGCAGCATCACGTATAGTTTTGTATCAAGGTATATTTGTACTCTTGCAAATTACTATCGTCTCGCTGTTGTGCATCAATGGTAACCCGGAATCAAAGTCCACCCCCTAACTCTAGTACTGGTACATCCTCAAAACGGCAACGGCGTGAGGAGCCACCATCATCAACACCCACGAAACGTCGCCGGCGAGGACGAATGCCATCTCCAAATCCCACTGCAGGTGAAGAGAAGAAGAAGGCGAAGCGAAAGCAACATCATTTGAAGAGAAGTGAAGTGCCAGAAGATGCCGTTGGATTGAAAGTGTGTTGGCCTTTCGCCTTTCAAGGGTGCAGAAAGCTTACAGATTATTTTATAGCTGGCCTTCGAGACTCATATCCGTCTGATTTCGGGTGCTTTCTCAAGCGATGCCATACCTGAACCCCCCTCTAAGCATGCCATTTCAATGTTCGAGCGCCAGTTCAGCTCATCGGAGGCCTTTACCAACGCGTTGCACCAGAATCGCACCTACCGTGGAACTAGCACGGCGACACATGATGCGTTGAAAGCAGTTCGGTTGCGACAAGTCGTGGAACCATCAGCAACATCAGGAAATATCTCACGTATACCCGATCATGTCATCCGACAAACATTTGCCACTCTCCATGGCTTTGGCCTCACTGAGTGGCGCCCTGATCTCATTGAGGGCACACCGACATCACCCTACAATACTGCACTGGAGTCGATCGCAATTTCCACCTTTGAGACTGCAGCTGTCGCGTTGGCATATAGCCATCTTTCTGTCAACCTCGACTACCTGAAGGATGTGCAACTCCTTCGTGATCTTTATCGCAATTTTGTGTGGTCGTACTTGAAAGGGCTTGCTATGAAGGAGAAAAGGGAACCTGGGAGCCTTGCAAAGTCTGTTAGAAATAATGCCACATATCGGCGGCGGGATGAAGTAAGTACTAGCTATTTATGTCAGATCTCACGTCACTGAATGCCATTTTAGCTTACGAAGAAGCGCAAGGATTATCTACGTAACAATGGATTCAACAAACGTGTGCAAATGTTAGCAAACGACCCCGAATGTACGTCCGACGATGAGCGCAAGCCAAACGGAAACGGCTTTTTCATTTTCTCGAAGTCGGCTCGAAATCCCCATGTTACAAGCTTCTTTCGGACAATCGACAAGGCACGTATCGATGGAACTCCTGTCCTTCGTGGCCAACGAGGTGCGAGACCACAACCGAGGGAGAGCCATGATCCTCCAATCGAGAGTGACATCTCTCGTCGCGTGCCGTTGGGATGTCCTCTTGACTGGTTTTCTGTTGAGTACTTCAACAGGCTTGATTGCAAGTACCGTGCAGAGTATATCGATGCCCCAATTGCATTGCCAGGGAAAGC